GCACTTGGGGTAGCCAAAGTACTGGATCCATCCTTGATGAAGCGCTTGAAGCATCTCGGGTGTGGTTGGATTCCTGCTGGCAGAGACGGGGTGCTTGAAGAGGAAGTTCGCTGCCCCGTAGGTGGAAGCTTCGTCCACAATCACCTGGAAGTGGAAGGTCTCGTCGCCCACGGTGAACTCCATGTTGTCCAGCTGGATCACTTCCCAGAGCTCAGTGGCTTGCTCCAGGGTCACTGCACGTCGGGCCGGTGGAATGGCAGACTCTTCACAATCCATGCAGTGCAGATTGGCCGCTATCGTCTTGACCATGGTGGAAGCGCCACGGTCGCGTAGCATCTTGATGAAGACTTGTCGTCCTGGGTGGCCAAGCTTCTTGTGGAGGTTCAGCAAGTCAGTCGCCACTCGCATCAGCTCTTGGTCCGTGCTCTTGAGGACAGACTCCGGGTCATAGTCAGGCGTCTTCTCAACAGCCATGATCTGGTCCTCAGAGTGCTCGTGGATGAACTTCACCAAGCGTGCCATCTTGTCGCACAGCTGCTTGGGATAGAAAGCTGATAGCCGTGTGCGAGTTCCTCCTTCACAGGGAACGTGAGGTTCTTGGCATTGACATAGCCTCTGAAGCTGCCACACCAGTTGTGAAGTGCTCTTCACTTTCCAGGGCTTCTTCATCAAACCACCTTCTGGAGCACGAAGTCCATAGGCACAACCATCAAAGACAGCCTCGAAACCTCCGTGTTGGTGCCAGAAGTTCTGGATGCACTGAAACTCCCAAGCCTTGTTGTACTTGGGCCATTCTTGAAAGACTTCGCCGCCTTGCTGGATCTGGAGCTCCATGATGATCACTGCTCTGCTTGCCAGGCGCTTTGAGCGTTGAACTTTCTTTTCCACTTTGGCTCGACCTTCTTCGGTCAGCTTGTTGAGCTCTTGGATGCCAGAAGTTGGTCCACAAGGTAACGATACCCATAGCACGTCGGGTTTATAGGTCTTCAGGAGCTGGATCACCTTGTTGAAGCCAGACTTCTTGTTGAGGTCGCAGTCGTTGAAGAGACCGCAACGAATTCCAAGTCCTCCTTGAGCTTCCAATGCAGTGGTGAGTCCACTGTCCTCTTCACAGCAGAGTTCCATGATCTTTGGAGGCTTCTTGACCTGATCCGCCATCAGGCTCATCATGATGTCCTCACATCCTTGCTCATACTCTTCAGCCAGGGAGAGCAGGAAGGCGGTGTCGTCTTCGGTCAGCCTTCGGCCTTGGCCGGTGTCGTCACTGTCAGATGATTGGGGCTGATGACCTTTCTTCTTCCGCTTCTTGCTGCAGGCTGAAGCATCAGGCAAAATGCCTGGAGTTGGCAAAATGCCAGAGTTGGTGAAACTGTTGCCCATTGGGATCCCCAGGTAGTACTCGTCCATCGCCTCCTTGGACTTGATCTTCGGCAGGTTGGGGTCCTTCATGGCAGGCTCTGTTGGTGCGGTAGATGATGAAAAACTGTTCATAGCGCATGCAAAACTTGGTGAGGAACTCTTCAAAGAGGTAGTTCCTCCGGCTGGTGAAACATGAGATCCTTGGAGTCCGGGAGCTGCGTGGACGATCTTCTTCACGTGGAACTGGGGCTCACCGGTGTCACTCGACTCCATTCCTCCTCCTCTTCGTTCTCCGGCTGGGTGGCGATCTCGTACTCCTCCGCGGACTTCTCCGGCAATCTTGCACTCTTCTTGCTGCCGGTGTGGGCCATTGTGTGGTCCTGAGCATACCCTGCCGTAGGTGGTGAAGGCGTCATAGGGCGTTCCGGGCTTTGGCCCTGCGAAGACTTCCCTGGGGAGACCTTGGTTGTCTCGGCCGCAAACTTGTCCTTGCGCTGCTGAGTCGACAGCCATTGCTCCTTCTGCTTGCGGATGGTCTCCATGCGTTTCTCCAGGGATCTTTCGGCTGCATCCAAGCCTATCTTCTTGTCCTTCAACTCGATGCTGCCCTTGTCCGGCTTCTTCTCCACCAACTGGGTCGTCGTATCGGCCACAAGTGGTCCTGCTTGTCGAGTCAGGCCGTGTGCGCCGAAGGCCGGCGTGTAGCCCAGGCGAATCCCACACTCCGAGCATCCCACCCATGTTGCATGGGCGTTGCTGCCTGTGTTCGAGCCGCGTCCCGGCATCGCAGGAGTGTGTTCTCCATGGCATGGAGGTCCCGTGGCTCGGGGATCGTCCTTGTTGATCCCCTGTGTGCGGCTGTAGTCGAACCGCTCGGAAGCTGGGGCCACAGGCTTCTTCTTCTCCTTCGCCTTGGGCGCCATGGGCTCGTGAGGCGTCGTTCACGAGGGCGGTCAGGATGTCATCCCGCATCCCTTGATCAGCTTGTGCCAAAGGGCGTCGGAGGTGATCATGACGATCAAGCATGTAAGCAGCTTCAAGATCTTCACCTGACTCAAGACCTTCTGCCTCACTGCACTTCTCAACCACAAGAGCTTGTTCAAGGGTGTGTGGAGACTCAAAACTCATGCAAAGCTCTGGGTGCAGGTGGTCCAACATGTCGTGGGAGGCCTGAGAAGTGACATCTTCATGGTCCATGGGAGAGACTGCGCACAGAGGACTGCTCACCTTATATGCCGCACGAGGTCGTGGTGCATGTTGCTCCAAAGGCTGACCCATGGTGAGCCAGTCAGTGCGAAGGTCAACAAGAAGATGTCCCGCCTTGCTCTTTCCAAGTGGGATCTTGAGGTCAGGTGCCACGTTGGACAAAACCATCCAACGGCCGCTCACATCGATCACCGCGCCAAGGCGATCCAAGGTGCGCATGCCAATTAAGATCGGCACCTTCTCGGCGTCGAGGGTGAACATGCCAAGCATCACGCTGTTCTCGCCGAGCTTCTGAGGTACCAGCACAAAGGATTCGCTGTACTTGATGCCACCATTTCCAAAGCGGAAAGGTTTGACCGCATTCGGGCCGGTGAAGACTTTGATGCCTTCTTCCCATCCTTGTGCTTGATGTCGCTGCCACATCAACTTCTCCAGGGCCTCAAGGGATCCAACCGTCTCAGTGGCTCCCAGGTCCAGGACGCCATAGCCCGATGTGTCACCAGTGATCACTTCATTCGTGGCCATGCCAATGAAGTCGAGGTCCAGCGGGCTTGGGGTCATGGCCTCCACCCAAAAGGTTCCTTTGCGAAATCCTTTTCCAGTCGTAGGCGAGCTGCTGGTGCTGCGCTTCGGGCAATTGCGGAAACCATGTGACTTGTCCCCGCAGATGAAGCATCCGGTCGAAGTTGCCTCAGCTGACAGCACTGTCTCATTGGCCATGAAGGTGGCAGGCAAGGAGCTGCTTGGTGAAGAAGAGGACATAGGTGAGCGCCCTTTACCTTTCTTGCCTTTGGATTTTCCTTTGCCCTTCTTGCCCTTGAGCAGGTGAGGTGGATAGAAGCCTCTGCTCTTCCCTTTTGCTCGTTGGAACTGCCTGCTCTGCAAGAAGGTCTTGGCCTTGTTCTCATAGACTGAATAGGCCTCCTCAAGCTCTTTGTTCTCCTCGGCGGTCAAGTCGTCGAAGTAGCCATCATCGCAGGCCCAGAAGGCTCCATGGCCATCTGTTTCATACCACTCGCCGGACCAGTCCATGGTGTAGCCATGCCAACCATCGCTTTCACGAGTCCAGTAGATCTCAGGATCTTCCTCCATCGAGTTCTCCATGGGTCCAGGATCATATACTTCAGGAGGTAGTTGATGCCCAACCCAATGCACTTCGGCAGTCAGTTCCTCCATCGTGGTCTCGTCCTGGTTCACCAGAAGCCCCCAAGAGCCAGCCTCTTCCACCCACTAGTTGCGTCGCTTCGATGGATGTCTTGTAGAATCTGCCTGTAGGAGTTCTTCTTCTTGATCTCGAAGCGCCGTCTCGATGTCACGGAAGGTGAGGCTGTTCTGGACACTGGCCTGGACAGACAACCTGCTGGCTGCACTCAAGTTAGCTCGTCGTAGCAGTAGCCAGCCAAGGACTTCATCAGGTAGGACTTGTATGTCCTCAACTTCCAGTTCATCCCAAGGAGGATCTTCTCCAGGTGAGGAGGTGTCATTGTCAGAGTCCTCCCAATGGCGTCGTTCACGTCGCCATTGTCGCCATTCTTCAGCTGTCCAGCCATCATCTTGGTGCCAATGATCGTCAGGAGGATCTTCGGGTGAAGCTTGCTCGGCACCATCATCTCCGGTTTCATCTTGAGGTCGGGGATCCGGTGCTCGTCCAGTAGGCGATGAGGGTGATGCCTGAGAGACTGCTGCTGCTGCTCTGGTAGTAGGCGATGAGGGCGAAGTAGGTGGTCGGCTCGGTGGTTCAGCCTGAGGTTCTGACATGGCGCTCCCAGTCACAGGAGTTCCCAGTGTTGTCACAGGAGTTTTCTTCTGCTGTCGAGCCCTGACCAATGCCCTTTGCACCTTGCGGTAGGCCTCCAGGACATAGGATGACCATTGGCTCATCGGCATTCCCAATGGTCTCCTCAACCTTATCAGCAGGTCCTCCAAGCGAGCTCCAGCATCAGGGACCGCTGTCCGGCATAGCCGGCTTTGCAAGAACTTCAGGAGATACTTGGTGCCGTTCTTCTTGCTCAGCTTGGAGTGTTCCAGGTCAGGGGTGACAGACCATGCACGGCCAGTCAACCTGGATGCTAAGTCAGGTGCCAGGTATTTCTTCTTTCGGTCCGGTGTCTTCTCCCATTGCAAGCGGACCTTTCGGGCGTAGTCGCCCCAGGTGGTGGGATCTCCGTCCCATGTGACCACCACCTCTTTGGCCGAGATGGTTGCCATCGAGGATCTCCGTCAAGGAGTCGAGGATGTAGCCCAGCGCCGCGAGTAGAGCTCGAGGTCGAAGGGAGGTGCCCAGCCGCCGCCGCCAGGGAAGTTCACGAGGAGGGGCTCAATGGAGTAGTGACTTTCCAAGGTCCCAGGAGATGGCAATCGCCAGAGCTCCGCTACCAATGTCGGTAGCCGTGTGACCTTTGAAGGTGAAAGGTTTCCAACCAAAGCAAAGGCCACTCGCACGGGTAGCAGTAAGTTTTCCGCACACCAGGGCCCGTTCACGGGCGTTGTCGTCTTCCGGCCTTTTCGGCCTCAAGTGCCACAGCTATGGCGGCAAGCGCAAACGGTAGCCTACAAATGGCCTGCAAGGCCAATGGCTGAAGGGTGCCCTTGAACCGGGAGGTTCACGGAAATCGCACATGTCCTTCACTGACCGGAAGCGAAACACATATGTTTAGCTGAGTTGTTCACAGGATTGTCACAATCGACTCAGTGGTTGCTATCTTTGGCCAGACCGTGCTTTCACAAACTGGTGCTTGGAAAAGGCACTCCTCAAGAACGGCAGTGTGGACTCACGGGAAATTCAATAGTTCTCGCACAACCTGTTACGGGCCGTTCGGTGCCAGAATTGCCGCCCCGAATCGATGCCCTGACTTCAAATATTTTGGTAGTTTTTACAAACTCAACCCAAAATCTTTCCACGGCCAAATGGGCCACAGTCGATAGAGAGCAGTATTTGGAATGCGCTGCCTTCCGCAAACGTGTTTGCCCTGCTTACAGTGAAGTGAATATTTTGCAAGACTTCGACGAAGCAAGGCTGCCTAGGCGTGGAGTCCCTGAAGCTTTGACGGAATGCTGCATTGAGGCCTGTTTTTTTTGTCTTGTCCAAATGAGCTCTTTGCCTTCAAAGACCGTAGTGTTTGTACGATCAACTTGGCTGTTCCTATATCACCCTTGTTGACAGCGCCTGCTCAAACGCTGGCAATCGGCAAAAGTGGTTTTTTCATGAATATTGGAAGGCCCGCAAACAGGAAATTCGCATTCTCAGCACTGCCGCTGCACGCAAGTCCGTCGCAAGTTTGAAATTGCTAGTTTTGCGTGACACAACCCTTTTCAAAGCGTGGTTTCCCGAAGATTATTTGCAGAGGAGTGATGCTGCTGTTGCTGTTCGTGCTGCTTGTTTTGATGTTTTCAACCTCAGAGCTTGGCCGCATAAGGTCATCATTCATGTCCTGGAATTTTTGTGTGCGAAACACATTGGCCAAGCATTTTGTGAAGCGGGCAGCCTCGAATGTGCCGTGTTGAGTCCAGGTTTCCACCAAGAGCAATGCAGTTTGCAAGAGTTCTGCGCGCATATAGCGCCACATGCAATTGCCAACATCGATTTCGCTGCAATAGCTAGGACCAAACCACCCAACACACAAACACCTGCAGATGTGCCAGAAGCACCCATGGAAGATGATGAGTTTGTTTGTGAGGCAGAAGATGACTTCGAGGATTGCTTTGATGACGTGCCATGTGAGTACCTAATGAAATTTCCCTTTGTGCGTCCGCAGGAATTGGCCGACTTAGCCTTGCAGCGGGCGCAGTTGAAGGAAATTGAAAACAAAGCCCGGCTCACCCGAAACCAAAAATTGATCAAAGAGTTTGTGTCTGTCTATGGGGAGGAATACTTGAAGCCACGTCCTTGGAAACAACGTTCAGACTCCGATGGCCTTGAGGAATCAGTGCTTTAGCTGAAAGTTGTTCCCCACCTGCCAGGTGAGGGCTGTTAGATTTTATCACAGCTGTTCTTCCTCCTCCGCCTCCGCCTCCGCCTCGGCCTCCGCCTCTCCTTCCTCCTTCCTAATTGCTGCCTTCCTCGCCATCTTGTCTGGCCAGCTCCGGATCGCAGTGTGCACCCCTGGACTTCAACCGCAAGGATCCCCTCGCAGTGTGCACCCCTGGACCTCAACCGCAAGGATCCGATCGCAGTGTGCATCCCTGGACCTCAACCGCAAGGATCCGATCGCAGTGTGCACGCCTGGACCTCAACCGCAAGGATCCGATCGCAGTGTGCACCGCTGGACCTCAACCGCAAGGATCCGATCGCAGTGTGCACCCCTGGACCTCAACCGCAAGGATCCGATCGCAGTGTGCACCGCTGGACCTCAACCGCAAGGATCCGATCGCAGTGTGCACCGCTGGACCTCAACCAGATAGCTTACCACTACCACAAACACAACCACAAACACACCCACAAACACACAACTACAAACACACAATCGCAAAGACACAACCACAACCACAACTACAAACACACAATCACAAAGACACCACCGCAACCACAACCACAACTACAAACACACAATCACAACCACTACCACAACCACAAACACAACACCACAAACACACAACCACAAACACACAACCACAAACACAACCACAACCACAAGTACAAACACACAACCACAGCACACAACCCGAGGACCCACAAGCAACATCGAGAACTACAATACTAACGACT